TCCTTTCAATGAAGATTTTTCTTATTTTCACGTTTTTGCCTCCATATGAATTTTTCATTTATATTTAAAAATACGCTTTGGCATTTGAATTGGCTTTGCAGTGAATTTACATATGAACTCAAGAACCGACCTGGCTACAATGGGCAAAATGTTCCTGTTACCAAGTGCTCCCGATCCACTCCCCGGCCCTCAGCCCCCACCCTCCAGGAGGCCAGGATTCGGAGTGTTCATTCTCTAGCAGCTTCACAGCTTTACTACTGACGAACATCCTGAGTTTTTGTGTTTGAACTTTCTATAAAGGTACCCAAGAGGCTATTATTCTCCTGACTTGCTTCTCACTCAACAGGATCTGTGATGTGCAAAGCTCCACACGCCACTAACTGGGCTACAGAGCCCCACGCCCCGTGGCCTTTGTGTCCCTCACCCCGTAGATGACTCTCTCCTTGCCTCCTGTCTGGTTGTTATAAATAACGCCATTGTGAAGAGAAAGCCAATGTTGTACAAAAATGAACAATGATTTAAAATACATATAAATTTAAAAGATTAAAAAAAAAACAACAGAAAGCTGGAATAAATAATGCCATGTGACCACTCCTATGCTCGCCTCCTGGGTGTCACCATCCAGCACATGTTTCTCGAAAAGCATAAATCCCGCCTAAGAGACATAGCTGTGTTCAACGTCACTAAACAATACTGTTTTCCAAAGTGGTAGCGCCGAACAGTAGCAGAAGACATTCTTGTCATGATCTCTCCAATTGTTGCTGTTTTCTCTTTGGCTGCTGCCATTTTGGTGGCTGTGAAATGATGAAGACTAAATAGTGTTTCTTTCCACTGTGCATCTCCTGGTAAGGGCAGACCTCTTCCCATGGTCATGGGCCATTCCGGTTTCTTCCTCTGTGACTTGCCTGCTCGTTTTCTGTCCGTTTCTCTCCTGAGTTGTTCTTATTATTGATTTGTATTCAATTAACATACATATTGTCATTATTACACCTTATGGTAAGAAATAGTGCTTACTGAGTAGTCAGGTCATCTCTAAGTGAATGTCTCGCACTGCCTATTTTGTTCACAGAAGTCTTCCCTTGCCCAGTCACAAACATATTCTTTGACACAGTCTTAAGAGTTTTTAAAATGTTAATTTTCCTATGTAACTTTAATTGGCTTTTGTGTCTGGTGCAAGGTAGAAGTTCAATTCATTTTTTTTCCCCTTTTGTCAATTACAGAAACCCCATTTATTAAATAATTCATTCTCTTCCCCACTGATCTGCAATGACTGCCCTTTTAAAAATCAACTTTCTGTACATGAATTGGTCAGTCCCAAGTTCTTGAGTCCTTTTTATTTATCCAATTGTCATCTCTGTACCAATTCCACATTGTTTTAATCACTATACTTTATAGTGAGCTTTATAATCTGGATGTGCTAGTCTCACACTTCATTCTTTAGGAATGTGCTGGAATCCTTGGCCCTTTGTTCTTCCATTCACATAGGCTTAATTGGTCAAGTAACCACAGGATTTTGTGTTGGAACTGTATCAACCCTTTAACCAATTCAGAGAAAGAGCTGAGACCTAGGTAACAGTGAGTCTTCTTGTCCATCATAGTCTCTCCATTTATTTAGGTCAATAAATTTTTTTAATTAAAACTTTCTCATTAAAAGGTTCATACATCTTTTAGTAAGAATTATTCTTAGGTACTTTATTTCATTTCTACAGTAAATTGTATTTCTTAATTACATTTAAAAAATTTTTAAGCTATTACTGCTTGTAACTGGTGCATAAAAATGTAATTGGTATTTACACGCTGATTTGTTCCAGCAAACTTTATAAACTTTTTTTTTAAGATTTATTTATTTTATACAAGAACTGGGGTACAGGTCAGAGGCACAGGAGGGTGAGAGGATTCACCAGAGACAGAGCAGGGAGCAGAACAGGCAGACGGACCAAAGGCACTGCTGAGGGGAGCAGCGGACGAGACAGGAGAGGTCTGCCGTGCCATGTGGGAATCTCCCTGGCTGGCCAGGAATCGAACCGGTACTGCAGAGGCTGCGGGCAGCTTCACAGAGCTGTGCTCAATCCGCTGCGCCACCGGGGAGGCCCTAACTTTATAAACTCTTAAGTCTTGTAACTTGAAGATTCTCTGGATTTTTGTAGACAATCTGATCATACATTAACCCATAAACATAGGAATCCATCAAAAACAACTGATTTTCTACTACTGGCCAATTTGCATTCCTGGATAAATCCAATTTGGTCATCATTTTTATACTTTGTTAGATTTGGCTTGCAAGAAGATGCTTATTTTCTTATTGAAGGGTGCAATGTTATCTCTGTGTATGACAGCATACCTTATATATGCTAATGTGATATATTTCTCCATGAGATCAAATTTATTAGTTCTTCTATTTAAATCTTCCATGCCTCTAATAATGATTTTGTCTTCTGCATGACCTATTAATGAAGGTGTGTTGAAATTGTCCATCACCCTGGTAGACTATTTCCCCTTGTAGTTGTGGCCTTTTATTTTTGAGGTGTATCAGTCACTTTGGCGCGTGACTAAGAATATAAGAAGTTTAGAATTGTTATATTCTTTTGGTAAACTAAGCCTCTTGTCCTATGTAGAGGTCCTCCATCACTAGTAGTTGGGGGAAAGGGAGGAGAGGGTGGGCTCCATATTCATACAGGGACTCAGAGCTTCAGAAAAATAACCTACCCAGGAGCACACTAATTAAGCCAAGAGTCACACTTTTGCTCTCTGATTTTACATGTGATATTCTTTCTACTACATGTTTTTAAAAAATCGTAATGTTTTGGAATTTCGGGTCGAGAAACAAGCTAATAGAAGAAACACACACAGAAGAGTACACAAAAAAGAACTGGCTCTAGTAGAAAAGTTTTGTACTCAGTAAAATAATTTTGCTAAGAGAAGGGAGAGAGCTTAAATAGCTCCTACTTGGCTTAAAAAAAATTCAAAGTTGAAGGAAACGGTCAGGTGGTTTAAATGCAGAGAAAAAGAAAAGATAAAGCTGCCGAGTCCTGCTGTGTGCGGTAATGAAAGAGTAGACATCGCTACAAGACAACTTAGGCAACGAAAAAAGAAACGGCATTCTGAGAACACTGTCGGAGAGGACACTTATAAAGACACAGCTAGAGAAACTAAAATTATCGAGTAAGATTACAAAACACCTAGGGGCCTTTACTAATTTCATAGCAAGGAAACATGAAGGGCTATTTTTTTAAAGCAGGGTCAACTGAGGAAAAATAAGAAAAAGAAAAAAACTACGGAAGTTTTGAGTAAAGGCCCACAACGCACCAGGGTATATAAAAGAAACTGTGTACGTAGAAATGTACATCTATGTATATGGAACATGTCTGCTTTTTAGTCGCTGGGACAGGGGTGGAGACGTACACGCACCGAGGGCTAGTTAACCTCAGCAGACGAGGCTGTGCTGAGAGCGGCTGTCCTTCAGGGAGTGCTGTGAATGTACTGGGAACAGAAGCCTATGTTCTGTATTACAGCAAAATTCCAGTGAATCAGGTATGAACATAACAAGGCCAAGGACATCTGTACAAGATTTATTTCATTAACCACAACGTTTTAAAGTGATGGTATATACCCCAATACAGAAGGAGTGATTCAAAATCCATCAGGAGTTCAAGGTCAGAGATAAAGTCAGTGGTTTTTGAATCCCAGGCCAGTAAGAGTCTCATCCACCACTTTGTTTTCTTGGGCTAATAAAAGCGCTGACACATAGAACACCCTGTTCTAAGCGCCACCGTGCTGTCCAGTGAACAAGCACACCAGGGCTAGACTTCGTTGCTGCATCCTTAGCCTGGCTGTGCTGGTGGGTGGCAAGCCTCTCTGGACTCCCATTTTCGTGAACATTCCTGCTTCTAGCCATCACTTCCCGTGACTTCACATTTGAGTATTTCTCCTGAATAGCATGGCTGTTCTGCTGACAAACAGGACTAATGAGCAATGAAATTACCACCTGTCTCAACAAAACCTACCCTCTAAGAGAACATCCAGTCGTATTGCATGTAGTACATATCACAACATTGAAATGACATGTGAGAATCAATACAAAATATTTATTTTTTTCAAACCACAGAATTCAGCCCAGAGCCACACTATGAATGTCCCAAAAGTGTAAGCCATGAACATTTTTCTCAACAATGCCGTCCAACCAAAAATGAAGACACCTTCCGACCAGCAGGGGGCAGTGTACGCCAGAGGCCCCGGAGAGCGGACCTCGGGGCAGCGCACCCTTCACTGCTCTCCAGTCACCCCGCCAACAAGCAGGAACAGCCTGTGCACTCTGCCCCTCTGCGCTCAAAGAGGCTCAAATGAGGGCTGTGGACAGTGGAGGAGGGAAAACGTCAGTGACTTCGTTAACAAACAGTGGGGACAGAGGAGGAATCATTTCCGTCGGGAGAGAACAGGGGTCTGATGTTCTGGCGGCCAGAAACCGGGCAAATCACTAAGGTAATGAAAGTGACGGCAGAGTCGTTCCCCATGAACTCTATTTTAACTTCTGATAAATGTGAACTTCCCGTTACACAATCTTACTAACAACAGTAATCACAACAAAAAGGTCCTCTAAACCTCCTACAGGTGTCAGTCACATTCTGATCTTAAATTTTAACGTTCCCTTAAGAAGCCTAGACCTGGATTAAAGTAAACATAATACCCTGAGCTTAAGAAGCTCAACACGACATCATTTTAAAAAAAATCAAAACATTCAAACAATGACTGGTTAGCTAATATAGGTTTTTAGTTTTGCTTTATAGTTGTGAAGTTTTTTATTACCTCAGATTAGTGTATATTTAAAAAACAAAGTTCGCTTATTTTAATAACAGCTGCTTATTAAACAATTGGATTTAGCTCAAGGGCAATGCCGCTTGCATAATAATCATGGAAACAATTAACTGCAATAAAACAAAAAACACAGAAGAAAACACAGCCAGCCTCACTGAGATGACCGATTCCGAAAGGCTTGCTGGGGGGGGGGGGGGGGTCAGGTGCGCCAACCACTGGGACAGCCGTGCGCCCGCACAGTCGGGACCGTAGAAGCCAGCGGGGCCTGCTGGCCACAGGCCACAGTGACCAGTCTCCAGCCTGTGCTCAGACCACCGTTGCGGCATTCTCCTTGTGCTAAGAATCTTTCAAATCTCTTGTTCGGTCAGTCCAGAATATTGGAGGTGATGCACGTGCAAACTCTTCCTGAGGAATTCTTTATGTGTGCAAATTTGCAATCCAACAGAAAGCATGGCCTGCAGCAGAGGGGGGAGGCAGCTCCACACAGGCGGGGCTCACCAAGGGCACCCGTTCTGCAATCTCACTCAGACATCAGTTTTCATGGGTAACCCTGAAGGAAGGGGAGGGGTCTGCCTCAAACTTGTAAAAGGGAGGAGAAAAAAGTAACTTTCCCACAAAATTTAATAATGCACAACTCACTCATCCAGGTTTGAGCTCCTAACTCCACCTAGGAGCTATCAGGTTAGCTAGCTGCTACCCCAGGTTTGGCTTTCTGCCCCACAGAAAACAAAGACGCTGTTCTGTCAGGTAAGGGCACAGCTGTGACAACAGGACATGAAATGACACTGTGACTGAAGCTTAAGGCTAAACTGTAAAAGAAGTACCGTCGCTCTAGACAATCACCCAGCCACGTTCTCAAGTCACTCTTTCAAATGCCCAGGCTGGCTTTCTTTGGAGGCGCTTGTTACAGGCTGCACATCCACTCCGGTCGGGTCGGCCCAATCACCTCCTCGTGACTAAGGAGACACACAACCTGCAGTGTGTACGATTCTCTGTCTTGGATGATTTGGACCCCTCAAAAGCCAACATTTAACTGGGGTGGAGAAACTATACAAGGTATTGGCAAGTAGAATACAAACAAACATGAGAAGAAAAATACTTCCTGGCAAGTAGTACTTAGTCAACACGAAGTGGAGGACAAATCTTACTTCTCTTATGCTGCAAACTAAGAATTTTGGTGCATTCTAATTAAATAGGCACGGTCAACTTCAACTTGAAAAAAAGATCTTCACCACACCGCCAGGTGCCTCCCGGGCCAGGATGAGTGACAACCAGGGCACACGTGCTGGGCGAGCATGCGTGTTCTTCCCAGCCACAGCCTCACAGTACCAACCCCGGGCCTAATGCTGGCTACAGTCACTGTGCAAAAATTTAGAGAAACTCCATTTTGCAGTCTTAACTCTGCTTGCTTTTTGTTAACACATACATAATAAGACAAAAGTAAAATATTTCTCCATTAAGTTAATAATGCAAAAGCATCCAAAAATTTTAATGCCAATTCACATAATACAGTGCTTTTATAAGGAAAGTTCTGGTGTTGGCCCAAAAAATACTCTCTTCCAGAAAAAGCATTTGGATATATTATTACGATACTGAAAAATCCATCCATATTTAAAGAAATGTTTCAATTTTATTCCTCTTGGAAATATTAAAACCACAAAGGAGAGACTTCAGTTGCAGATACTATTTATAAGCCTGCAGCAAGCGTTCCATTGAGAAAAGTAAAATTTGGATTTCATGATAAAATGGAATTCTTCCTGGTTACTAGAATGCTACTGGTGCAGCAAATCAAAACATACAGGGCAGGTGAGAGCCTGTATAGATTATTACAGTAATTAAGTGTTTATCAATACAATCCAAGATGCTGAGTTAAAGAAGTACAATTCAAAGTCCTCCAAAAATCTACCAACTCTAGTTAAGTACTTAAAAAAATAAATCTGACACCCTCTACATTTACTTCTCTGAATAATAATTTCACAAATAGAGGATTCTGTTCTTAGATGCCTTACTTGCTCCCGATATCATACTTCCAACTCTCCCACTCCACCCCCAGTCTCCCCACAGGACAAACTGAACAGCAAAGCAGAAGCGGGACACAGTTCTCCTGGTCTATCTTCTTAGCCCCGAGTTCTCTGAAGAGGTAAGTAAAATCTGACGTTACCAAAGAGAGTCAAGCATACGCCCAATTTAGATTCAAGCAAAATTGAGAAGAAAAATATTTTCCTCTTGTCACATCTTCCTATTTTTCTTTGCCTTTCAAAACAACTAGAATAAAATTCAGTCTTTTATAAGGAACAAAACAAGTAGCACTGTGGGTGTAGAAAAACAGAAAATATAGCTTTGCCACAGCTGGAAGGGAGACTTAAAACAGCAGTGCTATTTTTCTATTATCTCAAATAAGATGTTTAAAAGATGCGGACTGCAGACTTTTCTTTTTAAGTACTTATCTCACCCATTTAAAATGAAATGGATCTGGAATCCCACACCCTTGATTATATTTGGATTTAATAACCGTATCTGCTTCCTGGAGCATCACAGGAACCAGTCTTCGCTGTTGGGCCGTGCTCAACAGGGTTAAAAGGGAGCTCTACCGCTCAGGCCCCACCTCCCCTGACACCAGCGCTATGGCAGCGGCTGGTGAAGTCACATCCTGTGACTCGACGGTCCCCACGTGAACATGGACAGGGCTCGGTGAAGCAGGGATCTGACCAACATGCAACACGTTTCCATTTTCCCATGTGGCATGCTGCTAGACACCCGGCACAGCGGCGGGCTAGTCTGTGATGCCATCAGCTTTCTCAGGAAGCCTTTGAGTTTGACAACATGGTCACAGAGTTGCAAAGTGCACAAAGCTCAAGGCACAGAGTAGAAAAAAGTTGTGAACAGATGGGGGAAAGGTTAGAGCGAAAGCAGAGCTAGCATTTTCTTTTAACAAGACTTGCTAATGCTAAACAAAGACCAACTCTTTTAAATGGGTTTGTTTTGGTTATGGGTGAAAAATACTGTATTGTAACAATCGGCTTGATTTTAAAGCAAAAGGTATCTTGATGTGTGGAACCCATATGCCGAAGTGCCACGTCCACAAATGAACAAAACAAGTGCTTAAAAAAAAAAGATTCTTCTGCTGTTATATTTTTGGAGGAAGCTGCTGAGTTTGGCTGCCAGGTCTCACTTAGCCACGGTCACTTTTCAAGACGTCTGTTCCTCACAGAATCTGTAGATAAACTCATTAAAAGAGTGTCCCATTTCAAAATCATCCCCAAGTCTAGCAGCAACAGTTTTTTTTTTTTTTTGTTAGTTTTTTTGTTTTTTAAAATTACAAACCAAAGTATGAAGTCCAACATCCTCTTCCAAGAAAAGCGTGTGGCAGAGCTCCTGAGCGTCTGTAGGACCCCACTGCGCTCTGCCCAGTCTCTGCAGCTCCAGTGTGTCCTCTCTTCAGGAAGGAAAGTACATTCAACACATTCACTATCTGTACCCTCTGGAACTTGCACATGCTGATGAGCTGTCTGAAAAAAACATTGCAACAAGAAAAAGTATGAATAGCAGACAGCAGCTGATAATGGTAGGAATCTGTTTACTTAACGCGTATTTCTCACCCCTCTCCTCCTCCCCCAAAAGATACCAAAAAAAAAAAGGGCAAATCCTCAAAACCATGTGATTTTAAGTGAAATGAAAGGGGGTAAATCAGGAACTGAGACTGGGTTACTATCCCACTCTGGTAGAGACTAAAAAATCCAGTAGCCTCTGGACAACAACCTGAGCACCACATCAGAGCTGCCACATCACGTAGTGCTGTCTGACACGCCTCACACACAGTGCTTCACGACAGCAGTGAACACCGGGGATGCACACCACGGCGAAGAGTGGGACACCAGCACACTCATTTGCACAGTCACCACCAGTAATTGCTTACGTCACAAAACTACCCAAAAATGTCAAGGAACAACATTACTTACTGTAAGCCAACTCTTCCCCTGCTCTCTTCCGGGACTGGTCACCTCTAGGAATAAGAAAAAAAGAGTCAACAAAACTGACTGACATCTTCACATCTTCACACACCGAATCAGAAGATAATAGCAGATAATAGCAGGTATTTCAATTCTAACAATCTATTTTAAAATATCCATCAAATGTAAATATAGGCTGTGCTGTTACAACCTGAATATGCTAATGAATGCTGTCTCTTTAATAGAGAAAGTTACTAAATGAAGGAGAGATTATCTACAAATATGGTTTGGAGAAATAGGTTCAGACTAACATGTCTTTATAGATAAACCTGGTTTTGTTACCAACATACCTGGTAACCTGCACATACCAGGGCAAATTCAAATAGGAAAATTCAAAATGTTCCTCTTAAAGCCCTAATATGAGACTGAAATTATATAAAGTCTTTGAGAAACCACAGATTCTTGCCGTAGATGAATACCTGTCTTGCAGGAAGAAGAACATGAACCTTTACATATACTACCCAGCTCATCTTCCAACGCCATAGAAAGAAGTTCTGGTTCTAGAGACAAGCAAGGTCTGACCAGGTCCTAGGCTACCTGAAAAATCTACTATTGTCTATTCAGTTTCTCGGAGAATAATGCAGGTAAGTGACTAAAATGCTAACTCACTATCTTTTTCTTCCTGGTTCTCTTACCAGTATTTACGTGGTTGATCTCTTCCTTCCTGAAACACTTCTGGTTTTGCTCAACACTCTGTCTTCAGCTACCCTGTCTTATCCAGGTGTATTATTCTCCTTAGTCGAGGACACAGATCACACAAGGTGTGCTACCTGAAACATCGTCCATGTGTCTGAGGCTCCCAGATTTCCACTTCCAGCTCTGCTTTCCCCCCACACTTCTGACCTGTAGGGCCAGCTGCCCATCCCCACCGCAAGGGATGATTTAAATGTACTGCAAATGCACCAAGGCCAGTACAACGCTGACTCCACTCCACTCCACTCTCCCCAGTCTTCCTACATAAATGGCGCTACTGCCCACCCAACAACTCCAGGTTAACCCCTAGCTCATCTTTGATTTTCGCTTGTTCCCTCACTCTGGGGCATTCTGTCCCCAAATATAATCAGCTCCATACCTACCGTCTCGATCCAAGTCACTCTCCTCTCTCCCTCCACAACTATGAGTTTTACTACGATTAGTTCAGACAAGAGCCTGGGTGATCTTACGTAAAAACAGGATTATTTCATGCCTCTGATTAAAGTTTTTCGTGGCTTTCTTTACAGTTAAAAATCAATTAAAATTTCTATTCCCAGGTCTGTGAGATATGCCTCCTGCCTACTTCTCCACCCTTATTTTCTACTTTTGTTCACTGAACATCAGTTGTTCTGGTTTTCCGTCTGTCCCTCGGACATGTCATCACTGTTGCACTTACGACCTTCTCTGCCTGCAGCACCCTTCCCCTTAGAGAGCCACACGGACATCTCCTCAGCACCCACACCCGTGCTGGAGTGACTCTGCCTCAGAAGGCATCCCATCACCAGGTCACGGGGAGCATCCCCAAACACGTGCCCTGGGTACTCTCTGTTCCAGACTGCTGTTCTCCTCATAACACTCAGTATTGTTTGAAATTATATGTCCATATGTTTATCATTTATCTCCTGACACTGGAGCATAAACTCCCTAAAAAACCAGGAATTTTACCCATCTTACTACTATGTCTTGTACACAGTAGGCAGTAATTACTAGCTACATTAACAAGTGAGTGACTAACAGCCTCTACATTTGGATTATTAAAATGCTAGCCCAAGTAATTACTTCCTACTTCTGAATAATCTTTCAGACTACCAAAGTTTCTCATTTTCCCTCTCTGGTTATGTTCATGACAAGGACAGAGACCTCTTGCTGGGCGAGGCGAGAAGTCTCAGTGACTGGCAGAAAGAACACTCACTGAATGGCCTCTCAGGGGTTTCTCTAGGCTGAGCACTCACAGAAAAACCTGTGTATTTACCAGGAACCAACCAGCCTCAGGCATCTTAAGGTGCTGGAAAAGGAACAGCCCTGAGGCCGCTTTTATTTTTTCTCACTGAACTGCAAAGCCAGCTGAATGACTCATATTATTGTTTATACTAGTATCCTCATGAATTGACATTCACCAAACATTCAGAAACCAGTTAATGCAGATCAAAAGGGAAAATACAGAATTTTATATCTGGGGCCTCAACTTGTATAGACAACCTTCATTCCTATCCCCCAAAGGTTAAATAAAAACTGAATGTGCAAAAAGAACAGAACATACATGTGAAAAGAGCAGGACGGAAGAAGAAAAAAAGTAAGTGATGTATATGTAAGGTTGCTACAGGAATCAGCTAAAGCCACATGTCTAAAAAACTATAAACTGACCTCAAAACCCTTGTACTAAACCAAAAAGCACCAATCCTAGAGTGACCCCTCTCAGCTAAAAGAGCAACAATACCCCTACATGATTCTATTTTGTTCCAGAAACCTAGGTAGCTACTATTCAGAAAAACACATTTGAAAATGATTTGGCACACCCTGAAGAGGACCCCCAGCTGGTCTGAATGGGGATGGTTCGAGGGCAAACATGTTAGATGTTCCCAAATAAGCTTACCTTCAGGAAGGGGATCTTAGACAGCAACAGAAGCCAATCTGCTGACCGCTCCCCACCCCCCAGCCCCAATAGTCCATTTAATCATGCAGGGGAACAGATAAGAAAATGTTGCTCTTAGTTTACATATTAATTCTAGCTTTGAAACAAGCCCACATTATATGAATATTTCCATGCACCTAAAGATGTTTCACATGAACTTCAGCTCAAACAAGAATCTATTAACTGTACAAGACCAGGTATTTCACATTATTCACACATCATTTCAGTCAAAGACTCACTCTGTGCATCCACATTAAAGCTGTCTGTTGCCTATTCAGGGCTCCCTACAGCACGAACACAGAACATAACCTTAAATGAAACAATAGTTTGTGAGTCTGAATAGCAATCCTATGACTGATTAGGTACAAACCATAAAACGAACTCCTCACAGCAGCACAGCCAGTCACAGAGTCTCTGTCAGACAGTCTGGACTACATTCTCAATTCTGTCTGGATTGGTGGACGTTTTTTCCAAAACAATCCAGCCCAGAGGCTGGACGAGAGTCCATGCACGGGAGTCAGCACAGGCAGACGCTCTCTCTGCTGCTGAGACTACGGTGAGTGCCCCCTTCTGATCAATCTGGACCAGCTGAGCAGTGGACCAAGGAATATGAGAAAGTCACCTTAGGAGGCCCACGCTGTGCGAAGCGCCCATCAAAGTAATTTTTGAAGTAGACTTAATTCTCATAGTAAATGCTTAAGTCGCTAATTTAATTCCCATTGGGAATCACAAAATTTTTGTATCATTTATATCAGCTGAAAATATATACTTCACAAAATATGTACTTCGCAAGATTCTCCGGGATATGGACATCATACTATATTGCAAGTTTTAGAAAAATTAGCCAAGGACAGAAAATTTATCTGGATAGAGCTATCCTCCTTTTTTAAGAAGAGGAAACTAGGGCCTCCCCAGTGGTGCAGCGGTTGGGCACTGGGTTGCGAAGCTGCCCACAGCCTCTGCAGCACTGGTTCGATCCCCAGCCACTGGCGAGGATCCCACATGGCGCACAGACCTCTCCTGCCACCTGCTTCTCCCCTCAGCAGTGTACTTCATCCATCTGCCTGTTCTGCTCCCTGCTCTGGCTCTGGTGAATTCTCTCACCCTCCTGTGCTTCTGACTGTACCCAGTGCTCGCATAAATAAATAAATAAATCTTTAAAAAAAAAAAGAAGAGGAGGAAACTAGAATTTAAGGCAAAAGTGAAAATATGAAAAACAGAATCTTAATTCTCTTTACTAGCTTAGTCATAAAATTAGTTATTTACTAGTGTAGTCATAAAAGCACATTATAATTGACCATAGAAGTGGTACATTATGTTTTCCCAAATGTTCAGAGCTAATATGAGAGGATCAAAGTTGGAAAAGCTCTTGGAGGCTGGTCAGCCTAAATGCCTCAGTAAGAAACCCTTCTTTAATATCTACTTGTGAAGAGCAACTCCCATAAAATCTAAACACAGCTTCCACAGAAGGATGCCAAGGCCACTCCCGGCAGCGTACCCTTACTCTGAGACAGTCACTAAGCCCCCTGCACCCTCCCAGAGCCAAATGGGCAGAGGAAACGGACAGATTCTGTCGCCAGAGGAAGAAGAACACTTGCCTCGTAAACCCATTCTGTATAAGTTCTCTTTGAAGTTTCTGATCTTGAGCAGCATATTCAGAAAGTTCAGATTCCACTGCCGGAGGGAGAATGTTTGGAATAAATTTAGAAAATAGAGTTGGAGCCATCTGAACCCACTCTGTAAGGGAAGGAAAAGATTCATTAAGGAAGTCATACAGACTAACTAAATTAAATGGAAAGGGAAAGCGAAAGCTTTCTATTGTCCAAAGAACAAAAATATACATCAAATGAAAATAAGTGGGGGAAAAATGAGTGCAATCCCATTCTGATAGAGGACAACAAAGCTAAATTTCTTTTCTGAAAAGAATGTAGAGTGTAAAGAAAGCAGATATTTTACATTTTAGTGGTTTAACAAAATTTAATTAAAGTCCTTAGGGAATTTTTGAATAGATCTTTTTTTAAAAAGATTTATTTATTTATTGAACAATGTAAATATAGAGGAAGACACGAACAAGATAAGCAAGGATCTCTGAGTGGGAGGGAAGGGAATCTGTGGAAATACAGCCCTACTAAGCACTAATTAAAACAATCTAATGATCAAAGTAGAGAACGGAACAGCAAGTTACCAGTAGACTTAACTGAAAAAAAAGAAAAGAAATACCACAAAAACCTGGGGGCAGGGGGGAAAAAGAAATAAACGTTTAATATAAGGACCAGAGATTAACTGGCAAGGACTTTTGAAATAATAATCTATTTTCACTCATGCTAAAGTACAGCAAACTAAGAATGTATAACAACAAAAATAAATGAATGGTTATCAAATTCTTAAGAAAAAGAGAAGAGATCCAAAGAGTAATCTATAAAAAAAAAATAACATTCATTTATCATTAAGTGAAGTCGAAAAAAAAGATCTGTATCAGACATGACAAAGATGGATTGTCTTTATTCCAAAGTATTTTTGTCAAATTAGTAAGACCAGATTCTATGCAAGTTACATCACAAACCTAAAAAATCAAGCTATAAATGTGTCCGCCAGGGAACAGGTGCAGTGTGGGGCAGAAGTGAAGGAGAAACTCCAGAATAAAGAGAGATAAGGGTTAGACATGACCCTGAATTTTATCTAAAGTGCCCCTACAAATTATTTCTTCTATTTCCCAAACGACTTGGTTTACACTAGTAGAAAAGCAGGCAGTCCTGAGTTTACATTTCACAATGATGAATATCTACTCAATTTTATGGCTATAGCAAATCCAAATACCACTACACATCAGAAAACACAGAGGGAAACACTGTCCTCTTGGATAAGGCTGGAACCGCATAAAGAAACAAGTCTAACCCCCAAAGAAAGGAAGAATGTTTACCTGGTCTGAGAGTGTACAGGCCTTTCACAATATTTGCCATAGTTGAAGGTGTGACCTGAAATGGTGTTGACTGGGCTTCTAAAAGTAAAGCTGAAATATGAAGAGAAAATGGGTTATAAACATGATCTAACATTTATTGTCAAGGTTCTCTATTTTTATTTCTCCCAAAGGCTGACGGATAAGCAAGTGTAAGAAAAGAACAGCCCAAGAGGACAAACTAAGAGTTTATACTCTATAAAAAGTTGGTTTTTTTCCTTAATTCAATGCAGTAGCTCCATCAAACAAGCAACTGTGCAGTTCTGCTGAAACTACTGGAATGATACGATTCATTTCAGAGGATCTGAAAATAAGTAAAGCTGCCTAAAAGCAATGGTATTCATGGACTTAGTCAGTGAGCCAAAATATGCTTCCCATTAAGTTTATGATTCAAAAGAAATTCATTTGGGGAATGAAGTGTTCTCTAGAATTTGAAATAAACTCCCTCAATCATCCCTCTTTCCCTTAAAACACCATAGTTGATGCTGGCAGATTTTTCTGAAAGACATCATTATTAGTAATTTTAGTAACTGTGATCAGTCAGAAACGCACTTTTCCAAATGCCACAGATACATATACTTTTTCTTCTCACTAAAGGTAAATGCCAGCAATCACGCGGGCTCACCTGGCTCACTCCAGCACTCTGGTGACCACGTGACTGACTGAAAGCGACAACAGTTTCTTTTAGGTTATCGACTGCCACACGACAAATTTAATAAAATATTTTAAGTGGGTACAAATAATTCTTGTAGGTAGCATATTCTAGATAACAACAGATACAAAACCATTTTTAATTTCTCTAAGGTATGCACTTTATGAACCAAAAATCTGCATAATTTTAACTCTAAGTCAGGCTTTTTAAACTGAATAAACTGATTTTCTTCTGTGAATGTCTTTAACAACAGGAACACCATCTCATGTAACCAACAATGATTTTATACTTTCACACATACAACGTGAATTACACCTAAGTTTATACCTCAAAGGCCAGAGGGGACCGTTCAAGTTTTTGCTTTGGATTTTATCACTGGCAGATGGTTATCATTTTGAGTGGCAAAAATTTTAAGAACAATCAGTGTTAAGCATTTCAGATAATCATAATGTTTTAAAATGCAGTGTTTAAAAATTGAAATTCTAAATGTTAGTTTCTGAGAGTCTCTCTCAAGGTTCTCTCTAATTTCAACATATGCCCCAAACCCAGGCTCTCTCCACTAATCCCTCCTCCTGCTTTTTGGCCATTCATTTGTTTTTCAGAACATCTGTTCCACTAAATCTTTATGTGATCAAGTATTTACATTTGTAAACAACCCCTAAGTTAAATTTAGAAATTGAATTATTCAAAAAATATATATTAGTTTGGGATGAATTAGCTGAAAATAATTACACTCAATAGCAAAAGATTACTAGAGTTGAGAAGGTGTAACATTTCACTAAAATCTTCTCCACCCTTTTTAGGAAAACAATGTTGAAGAGATTCTTATTGATCGCCTATTTTAAGGAAGAAGAAATGGGAATTTGGGGGTATGGAGCTTGAGAGAAAAAAGAAAATATGTACTCAGTATTTAACAGGTGTTAGGCTAGATATATATGTTTACATCTCGTAAGCTTTACTTAAGATATACTTTCTCGCAGATTATTATTTACCTTTCTGTTTTTCACGTAAGGAAACTGAAACTCAAAACAAAACAAAAACACAGACCCAGCAGGTATAGAAGGGATCAAAGGACTTGTGTTTCACTCAAAATTCTGTATTCTTTTTAGTCCACCAGCCACCACTAAAATGCTGATGTTACATGTGAACAGATACAAAGCATTATCCTTAGTAACCGTTTTCTTCCAAAAACAGTAATTTTGTTCTCTTCCAAAAACTATAAAGAAACAAGGATCCTCCAACAATTCCACTCACTCTTAATTATAAGTCAGTAGTTTTAAAACTAGGCCGTTTACCTTAGAGAACTCTAGTGTACACCTTTTTCTCTACATATTATGAATGAAAGTTTAGAGATGTTCAGTGCCTTGCTGAAAGTCACTTGGCTTTTTAATAGCGGGACTAGGCCCAGAACTAAGCTCCTCTGCTCTTTCAACTACTCCTCAGGTACATCCAGGCCTTCTCTCTTTTATTAATGTAAAAAGTGATTCTTAAAATCAAAACTGATATTAAAATTAACTCTCAACTAAAAAAAAAAAAATTCAAATTGTAAAAAATGATTAATGTTAAAATAAAAAAAAAAGAAAAAGAAAAAAAATTTCAAATTAAGGTCTAAAGTAAAAATCGGGGTCTCCCCTGGTGATGCAGTGGTTGAGCGCTGGGCTGAGAAGCTGCCCGCAGCCTCTGCAATGCCGGTTAGATCCCTGGCTGCCAGGCGAGTGTCCCACATGGCACGCAGACCTCTCCTGCCTCACCCGCTGCTCCCCTCAGCAGTGTACTTCAGTCCTTCTGTCTGTTCTGCTCCCCACTCTGGCTCTGGTGAATTCTCTCGCCCTCCCGCGCTTCTGACTGTACCCAGTGCTTGTATAAATAAATAAATAAATCTTTAAAAATAAATAAAGTAAAAAGCAGAAGATAACTCCTGAGGCTAAAAACTGAAAGGGACTCATGAAAACCCTCCAAGCAAGCTGACATGTTACATTTTCTCAGGAAATGTCTACCATTAACTGACCTATTTTGTCATATTTGTGCAGAATCCTCAATACAGTATTACATATACTTTGATAAATGCAGATTCTAGTACTTCCGCTGTTTTTCAAAGTTTAATGCATAGCAAATACTGATTTCAAAAGTAAACAACTTTACTAACAGCCAGAAGTAGAATCTACTTTATTGTAAAATCATAAATGTATGAAAACAAGTATATCAAGGAGAGAATAGAAAATTAATTTCATCTGCTGTGAGAAGTCACTGTCCTCATTCATGAAACAACTGGTGAGAAGGGGCCTTTGAGCACTAATTAGTTATTAGCAGAGAGGGTGTCTACTTTGTCCTGCTGTATTGGTTTTAACCCATCGTCCTCAAGAACCTTTTGACACACCTCCCACTGAGAAGTGTGTCCCCCATGTCTACTCCCTTGGAATCTGGTCTCTGTGGCTGTCTGCCCAACAGGATACAGCAAAAATAACACTGTGCCAACTTCTGGGCTAGCAGTTTCCATTTGCTGTATCTTGGGACACTCACTATTGGAGGAAACACAAGAGAGGAACCACAGTCAGTGCAACTTGCCAGCCACTTGAATGAGCCATCGTGAAAGTCCCCCATATCCCAGTCGAGTCACAAAGCTAGTAAAGTAGAGGAACCCCTTGAACCCTGCATATTTAATGCATAGTAAAAACTGATTTCAAACTTGCATTTCTGAGGTCAAATAAATAAAATAAACAGCTGTTCTAAGTCACCATGCTTTGGTGGGATTTGTTACACAGCAATAATAAATGAAACACTAACATTCCAAAGAGATCTGAAGTCAAGAAGGAAATTACTAATTGGATTTTGGAAAATTAAGATGCTACCTACTGTGAGGAGGCAGGAAGTCCAGGAAGAGAAGAGGAAACACTGAACTTGACACTTTATTCTGCATACTTAATAATCTACACTGGCATGGTAAACATTTCACAAAGTCCAGGGCCAGCAGGCCAGGGCTGAGAAGCTTACCTAAGATAGTCAGTAAATGACAGAGCCAGACTAGACAAGGGTCTTTTCACTAAAGAGTGAAAACTAGAGAGAATTCTACATTACAGTTCCATATAGGGAACCCTGAGATCCTAGAGATATCAGTAGCAAAGTTAGGATCCAAAGAGAGGAACCACTAATACTAGGAACTCCTAATATCTTCCCCATGTTCAGAAAAAAAAAAGGTGGCCAGCATCAGGCCAGGTATGGATGCAGCGTCCAATGCCCTGGAGCTAAGCTGCTCCCGGTTCACTGGGGAACCTTCAAGTCCCATTTCAATTCTTCAGTGTCTCTGTAGAATTGGGCTCAACTCTTCTTGCTGTATGAATCAAGAGATGTCAACATTGGGGTTTATGTGCGAATATGCCATGACCACCCCCAAAAAAGAAAAAAAAAAAAATCACTGCTAGTGTCCTCGTGTCCTCTCACCCCTGAAAGAGGCTGATCACTTACGCATCAGGCTGCAAATGTGCTTTTCTGCAACATGTTCCGTAAACAGCTTTATAAGGTCATCTTTTAAGTCTCTATTAAGCTTGGTTTCGATGTAAAACTTATTCTGAAAGAAAATAAATTGTTTTTCAGTGAATCAATTGGGGGAAATTAAGTCTAATCAACTGAAGCACTAAAAATTATTTTAAGAAAACATTAAGGCATCGATTAGAACCTACACATCAAATAATGAAAATGCTGCCCCTGTCGGTCTTCTGGCATGGGATTAAAAAGCACATAAAGATAAGATGCCACGAACCATGCCCCTCCAGAAGAACACAGAAAGACACCTCATTTGCTACAGGGGATAACAGCTTTGTTTATTAAATCATTTTGAATTGAATTAACCATACAGGGATGTACAAATACAGGAGCTGCACTGTCTACAGGCACTTAATACTCTCTTTAAAAACACTACTGAATCGGGCCTCCCTGGTGGTGCAGGGGTTAAAGTCTCAGCACTAATCAAGCTATCACCAGCCACTGTGACATGAGTTCCATCCCCGGCCAGGGAGCTACCCTCATGGTGCGGCAGGCCTCTCCTGTCTCCCCGCTGCTCCCCTCAGCAGTGTATTTCAGCAGATCTGCCTGTTCTGCTCCCCACTCTGTCTCTGGTGAATCCTCCCATCCCATTCCCCCCCTCTAGCCTACACCCCAGTTCTTGTATGCATAAATAAAGAAAATAAATCTTTAAATAAAAAAACACTACCACAAAAACTCAAATAAGGGACCAGGAAAAAGAATAACTATAAGAAAGAAAATATCAAAATCAACAAACAACTATGAACCAGAGACACTCTTTGGGGGGTGGGGGGCAGAGAAAGGAGGGCTTAGGGTCAAAATAAGGGGGTTGTAATTGTATGGGGAATATAAAAATAAAATTTAAATATAAAAAAAAAAAAAACCACTACCACATTTACAGGAAGTAGTTACAGAAGGCACCCCCATCTGTCAAAGTCCTGGCTGGAAGCAGGCAGCAGACAGGCACTGCTCGTTCCCAGCACACAGTCCCTCACGTGAATGCTTAGTTGAAGTCGTTCAGCTGATGGCATTCCCTAGGGGCCACCTTTAGGTGCAAAGGTACACACGTGATCCAAGGTGGCCCAATCAGACAGAAAAAAATCTAGGATTGAGTCATTTTATAGTCACTTTATATATAATGAAGATGAACAGATGTTGTGAACAGTAAAGAAAGAAGGAAAAAAGCACCTGAGTTCCTGGTAACACTGTGGAGCCACAGTCACCCAATCCTGGAGCCTGCCTTATTCCTGGAGTTTTATTACAAGAGATAATACTTTTCTTTTTTATTAAATCTCTTTAAATCAAATTTTCTGTTTCTTGCAGGCAAGAGCATCTTGATTAGAATGACTGCCAAGTCAGAAGACTGAATTTGTTCACGTTTAGATGTTAACTCAATGTGTACCAGTGGAAAACACAGAGGGAGGTTAACAAGTTGCTGATTCTCTCAATTTTTAACATACCTTTTTTTTCCTTTAAAAAAAAAATCGTAAAAATAACATGCACAAGATGACAAAATAAAACCATGCACACACAAGTCTCCCGCAGCAGACCTGGAGTCCCATGCCCCATGGCCCCGTTCACGCTGGGGAACATTTGTGCGCTCCTTCTAAAATGTGACTTGAATACCTGTGGATAGGCTTTTTTTCCAATAAAGAAGAAAATACTTGCTAATGAAGAAATATAACATTGTATTGCATCTTACTTTTTTACCCAATATTGTATCTTGAAGAGAAGACTTCTTTCTCTAATAGCATATAGCTGTCATTATTTTTAACTGCATATTTTCCTACTGTATCTTCCATAAATTATTTAAATTAGTCCCTTGCTAATAATACAGATTTTCCCCAATAGTCTACTATTAAAAACAATGCGGCATAATTCTGATACACATATATTTACATATATTTATGAGCTTATCTGCATAACTTCCTAGAGGTAGAATTTCTGAGTCAAAAAGTCTGTACATTTTTAACAATGAACAATGCCAGAAAGTCTTCCAAAGAGGTTTTACCAATTGGCACCCCCTTATATTTCCTTACAGATCCCTACAGAGTGTGAGGAGCTTGTTTCTCTAGAGCCACCAGAATTGGTGATTTTATCAACTTTCAATTTCACCAACCAAAAGAGGTTAAAAAAGTTAACCATTTTGTAGGTCTTTAAGATGTTGGATGTATTTTCATGTTTATAAGCCATTTGTATTTTTTCTGTGACCTACACTTTTTGTCCACCTTTTCAACAAAATTAGGGTTGTTAATCTTTTCAAATTACCAAGGAGAACATACCTTTGTCGTGTTTTGCAAATTTACTACAATTTTTCCCCAGCTACTTTTTGGGGGAAAAAATTCTTCTATTACTGTGACTACAAAGGACAGTTTGCTGAGTATAAGGTTAACATTCCAAACTATTTCTTTAAGAAATAAACTTTTCCAACAAAATAGTGTCAAAGTTCAAGACATTTCTATTTTCTGAACAATGAGAACAATTTACTTAACAAATTTTCACAAATAACTAGAAATGAGATTCAAGCTCTTAAATCTTTGGAAGATGTAGTTAAGTTTCATTTTACAAACTAAGATGCCCTACTTTAATTTTGCTGGAAAAATAAGTCTGAAGTTTATTTTTAAATGAAAGCAAATTTTTAAACCTTAGGATCTTACCATAAAATTTAACAAAGGCTCTACAGGAAAGTATGAATCAGTTTCCTGTCTTCTTCAATCTAATTTTTAAAAGACAATTTTTTTTAATAAAGTGTATCTTGTGGGGAATAAGTCATTTTGAAAACCGGTATTACATATGTTTACTACAGGAAGCAGGATCAGTCTAAATATCCCATTCCCTAAACTAATAAACAAAGACATGGCACAGTGGTTTCTAGGGCCCGCCATTCAAATGAAACCTAGATTCTGTGACTTTATACTATTTAAAAAGGGTGAAGGGAGGGGCTTCCAATGAAATCAAGTCCACAAACTATACTCAGGGCACAAGCCTCCAAATGAAATCAATCATTAGAATGAAAGCATGTTTTATACTTTATTTTTATGGAATGATTTACCTGGCATCTGTCATACATCATATTTTTAGATACAAGTCTCAATGTTCTACTTTCTGAGGACCAGAAACCATTCTTAACATACCTTTTCTTTCCCAAGCACAGGACCAAGCACAGATGGCAGAAATTACATAAATGTTCACTGGGGGACTGCTGATTGTTACTATCTAATAATTATCTAGTCAGCAATGTTACTGGTGGAATTTTCAAACAGAAAAAGGGTAAATAGTTCTTCTATGTCAACACTATGAAACATTACTGAAATAGACTTCCACTTCTAACATAATACACAGCACGAGAAAAATACACTTAATTCTCTGCATCCATCTGTGCTTAGCCCAGTACTCTTGGGTATCTGGAAGCTGGAAACAGTTCTAACTTACCATATATATGAAAAGAGGCACAATGCTCTGCAATGCTCCCATATATTGTCCAAGAGCTATATTAAATCTTTCAATATAGAGATCTGGAGGGCTGGCCTGTGAGGAAAAACATAAATGTGATCATTCTGGGAAACCAGATACAAAGATCTTCTGTCACAACCTAAAATGCAAATGGTCTTATTATAAGGAATCCATAATTTATACTGAAACTCACAGAGAAAATGAGGAGGTTTACATCCTTAAGGTTAGTTAGGATGTCTACTTTGTTCCCAAATCTGCTATACCAATCTGAGGTTTGATTCAGCTATTTTTGAAAACCATACCATTAAAAGGGCTGCTCTCTGAAGGAGTAAGAGGGTGAATTAAGATAAATGATAAAATTTTCAAAATCATCACTGAATTACACATACATTTCCTATGGGAATCAAACTATATTTGGACCCGGATAAAGAGAAAAAAATTAAACGAAGTGGTACAGGCTTAATATACTATTAAAATGGCTATTCAATTTTTAGAACGATCTTAAGCACAATAATATTCTGAGTTCTATACTAACTCGGTTGTAAGCCACTTCTACAACCAATTATAAACATTATTTATTTGCTAGAAAGTCAGGACTAAAATGATCCATATATAGCTGCAGTTCTGGAGAGCAGTAAAATACACCTAATACATGCCTGGCACTTAGCTCATTGTTACCAAATGCCAAGTCACAAAACCATCAAAAGAAAACACTTGCAATGTTATTGCATGTAAGGGACTAAACCTATATGACCCTCCCAAATGTTTATGTTGAAGCTCTAACCCCGGTGCAGCTGTATTTGGAGTAAGGAAATAGGGTTAAACAAGGTAGTAAGAGTGAGGCCCTCATCCTATAGGATTAGTGTTCTTACAGTAAGAGACAACAGAGAACTTCTCCCACACACGATCAGAGGAAAGGCCATGTGCCAACAGAGCCAGGAAGAGCTCTCACCAGGAACCAATCAGTTGGCGCCTCTTAGACTTCCCAGCCTCCAGAACTATGGGAAGTAAGTTTCTGTTGTTTAAACCACCCAGTTTGTGGCAACCCAAGTAGAGTAAGACAAGGTGTTTTATTTAAAAAAAAAAAAAAAAAAATTCCAGGGAGTATTTCTTCTCAAAAAAAATTTATTCTCATAAAGCCAAATTAATTATCATTTTAATACTGAAGAAACATACAAATAGGCAAGTAATTTGTCTAAAATTAGAGTATCAGGAAATAATAAACCAAAACATGCAAACAGAACTGATTCTGCACAATTATGTATTAACTCATTGCAACCTCAACCTGACAGGATAATCTTATATAAAAGACTTGCTTTCAAATAAGAATGTAAGGAAAAGCCACATTAAAGGATTCCTAAATATTAAATTTATATATACGAAACTGCAAAACCATTTCAGCTAAACTATTCTAGAAATGCCCACATGTTCCAATACTATTTTGAAATAAGATTTCACTCACAATGTTTTCAGTCCTACTCAACAGCTCACAACACGTGAAGAGACCGTCCTTGTTCCTAATTCACCTTCCACTACTGATACTTCCTTGCAGGCTTGCTGCATGCTAGATGCTTCCTTTACATTTAATTGTCTTAGGCTTCCTAACTGACTGCAAGTTGAACTTTATTTCTATTTCACATGAGGCAACTGGGGCTCAGAAATAGTCCCCACAGACAGTAAGCGCAAGAACTGAGGCTCAAACCCAGGCCAATCTGAGTCCTTCCATCCATTTACACTCTTTTTAAAACCCTGAAACCGTTAGGAAAAAGTTCAAACTTCCAATTCAAGGTGCTCCACTTGCCTCGCTGTTATCACATCCCGCTCACCCACACCCGCAGCCCAGCACAGTAGCCCCAGAGAGAGGCCAGTGGTTCCCAAACAGCACCAGTGGGTGGGCTGTGGCCTCCTCCACACGCTCACTGCCTGAAAGGCCCGCTTTCTGACTGACTCGACCTGGCTAACTTCTCCTATTCATGCTGCAAATGTGTGTCACTGTCTCAAAACTCACTGAGATATTGGTCCTTCGCCAGCACCACTGCACTTATCACCTCTCCCCCTGGGTGGTGTCACCATGAAACCCCAAGTCCCTGGAGGTCTGAGTTTTTATAACCCCAGCACAGACAACAGAGCCTGGAGCACAACAGAACAGTCTTGTTTAAAATCGAGATCTAATCTAGCCTGCTTAAGTCTACTGTTAACGCGGCTTTATGACATTAGGCAATTCACTTCAATCTCCATACCTAAAATAGTAAAAAATGCTAATTGTGCTATATCCAAGTGCTAAGAACCAAAGAAAAAAATGTGTAAGTGCTCTGAAAAATGTCCAACAATATACATGCATAAGTAACTAGTAAAAGTAAGTAAGCTTTCTGAATTGACTACCCATCAACACTATATAGACATTTCCTATTGGAACCAAACTATATTTGGATCTGGAAAAACCATTACAATTATTAAAGGCATTTTTGGTTACGTTAACAAATTCTTTATTAAAGAAACTGGGTGAAATGCTTTCATATTATGGGTGAACTTTTAACTATAACTTATGAACAGAATCACAAGTAATACCTTTCTGTAAATGGTTTCAAAGAATTCTGGAAATGATATTTCATTATTCAAAGAAACAAGTTTCAGAAGTGTTATATGAAAAACAGAAAAATTTGAAGGGCTTTTGCATTAAAATAATTTCCCCTGTTCTTAAAAGGATACTTTCCAAAAGTTAAAAGCATGAGTATTGATCAAAAGGCACACTTAACAGGAGACAGAAGAAATAAAATTGAGTCCCTTAGTTATTCTTTTCCAATAATTCCCAAAGCCTCAAAGGTTACGAGTATTAAAAAGTACTTTTTATATTGAATCAAATGTCAGAACTTTAATTTTTTTACTTCCACATTTCATGCAGCTCTTATTCCAAAAATTTTAAGCTACAGGCCTGTAAGTTATAACAGTCTACTAAAATAAATCCAACCATTTACTAGGAATAACTGCTATTAAAAAACTAATCATATTGTCCCTCCTTAAAACTTAAGGGCAGTATACTTTGGGCCACTGGGGAAACTGCTACCTATTTGATTTACATTATTTCAATATTAATGTATTTGCCTTGGACAATAAATGAAAAAAATTTTCCCCAGCTTCCCAGTAAATTAAATATTTTTACCCTTAAAATAAGCAAGCTTAATTTTCTTCTCAAACAAAACAAGGAAAATCAAACTGCCAGAAAAATAACCATTACTCCAAACTTGCTCCAACTTTTCACAACAGACCTCCATTCCCTGAAATTTGTAATAAAGTTGGTAAGAATGTTTTCTTTTTTTTTCTTTTAATGACTAATGCACTCATCTGGCTTAAAATTCAAATGAGTTCAAATAGGTTTATATTAAGGAATTTACCTTTCATTCCTTTCTGGGACCAACCACATTTCATTTCTTTATATTCTTCCAGAAGAATTTTATATATATATAAGAAAGTCATACAAGTACAAAGATCTGTACTTTTCCTAACAATATATCTTGGAGACTGTTTTATACTAGTAGTTCTCAAACATTTTGGTTTCAGGAACCCTTTAACTCTTAAAAATAATTGAAGATTCCTTCTAAAAGGTTATTTTTTATAATGTGGGCTATGCCTATGAATATTTACGGTATCAGAAATTAAAACTGGGTTTTAAAAATATGTATTCATGCATTCTAAAATGACAAGTTCATTGCATTTTAACAGCTTAATGTTAAAATAGTTACATATACTATAAACTACAGTTATATATAAAAAACTACATATTTCAAAACACAAAAAGAACTGTTAAAAAGAGAGGTATTATTGTTATATTTTTTCAGGTCTCTCTAATCTGGCTGAACAGAAGACATGTATTTTCACACCACCTCTGCACTGAACCCGTTGTGATATGTTGTGATGTGTTGTTCTGGTTAAAATAAAGAAAATCTAGCTTCAGATGGATACAGAGGGGGGAAAGGCGTTTGTTTTTTAAATTTATTTATGCATACAAAGGGCAGGGGTAATAGGCCAGAGGTGTGGGGGTGAGAGGATTCACCAGAGACAGGGTGGGGAACAGAACAGGCAGACTGAAATACACTGCTGAGGGGAGCAGCAGGCAAGTCAGGAGAGGTCTGCTGCGCCATATGGGTAGCTCCCTGGTCAGGGATCAAACTCGTGCTGCAGTGGCTGTGGATAGCTTCATAGTGCTGCGTCTTAACCCCTTTTGCACCACCAGGGAGGCCCCGGAAAAGGCGTATTTCAGATAATTGTGGATACTGTGAAATTTGATGTGTGGTGGTTGTTTAAAGGTGAGTTGCAACATGAGATCTGAAACTATCAATGAGCCCTCTGTACTCTGTCACACTGAGCCCCATGGGTCTCCTACTTTGAATGATCTTTCACACATACATTTTATAACATCACAAATTGGACATTTGGAAAATACTGACTCACTGAGTTATCCAAATGATGACACATTTTACTCTTCAACATCAAAAAAATTAATTTTGCTAATATCACTACCAGTCTCCCCAGAAGGGTCTTTATAAGTACTGGACAGCTATTGAGGTCATTGCAGTAGATATGGGTTTCCAAAATTCTAATTTTCATTTCAAAGCTCAAATTTTATCCCTGGCAACAACTACTGTCAGTTGCTCTCCTTGAAGTAACAAACATCATCATTTTTGAGAAAGCATTTTTTCAAATAAAGAATGTTATACAGGAGAAAAACGCAACTGGTTTAGCTCTAAACTTGTACCACTATTTTAGAGCCTCCCCAGGTGGCGCAGCAGTTGAGCGCTGGGCTGCGAAGCTGCCCGCAGCCTCTACAGTGCTGGTTCGATCCCAGCCGCCGGCGAGGGTCCCACATGGCGCGCAAGCCTCTCCTGCTGAACCCACTGCTTCCCTCACCAGTGTATCTCTCACCCTCCCACGCTTCTGACTGTACCCAGTGCTTGTATAAATAAATAAATAAGTCTTTAAAAAGAAAAACAAAAAACTTGTACAACTATTCAAGTGTTTTTTCCTCAAAACAATTACTGTACTTTGGCATGCAGCTTCCAGTTCTTGATACAGGATAT